GGGGCGGGGTATTAAATAAAAATTATTATTATTATTATTATTATCCCAGTTCTTCATGCTTCACAGGTAAGTGAACCAGGACTGGAGCTGCCCTACAGGGTCCCTCCACAGGAGACAAAGGCCCCAATGCCCATTAAATTGGACATTTTGGCCACTTGGTTGGAGGTTTATCCCAAGCAGGGCTGTGCGCAATACCTTTTTCATGGTTTCATACATGGTTTTCACATTCCATATTCTTGTTCGAGGGTTTACCGTTTTGCAACTATTGCAAGATAGGTGAGGGAGTTACCTGGGGTAGTAAGGGACAAGCTAACAAAGGAATTGGTGGCAGGGAGGATATCTGGACCTCACAGAGAATTGCCAATGCCAACATTTTGGTTGTCGCCTCCAGGTGTGGTACTCAAGAAGGCACCAGGTGAGTATCGTTTGATCCACAATCTTTCATACCTCAAGGGGGAGTCAGTGAATGATGCTATTGACCCAGCACTGGCATCTGTGAAATATGCATCTTTCGATTCAGCAATTCAGATGGTGAAGACACTGGGCAAGAGAGCTCTTCAGGCAAAGTGCTATATAAAATCTGCTTTCAGGCTCCTTCTGGTGTGCCCAGAGGACTTTGATTTACTGGGCTTCCAATTTGAAGGCATGTACTATTTTGACAAAGCAATGCTGATGGGCTGGTCAATTTCTTGCTCCGCTTTTGAGAAATGTAGTTCTTTCCTTTGATGGTATGCTGTGAAGAGGTCGGGTAATGCTGCAATCACACATTACTTGGATGACTTCCTGCTTACTGGGGCTCCCAGCATGACAGTGTGTGAGGACACTTTGAGGGCTTTTAAAGCTTTGATGGATGAGATGGGAGTTCTGCTAGCTAAGGAAAAGACTGAAGGTCCTCCCACTTGTCTCATGCTCCTTGGGATTGAGCTGGATATGATTGAGGGTCTGTCTCATCTCCCACAGGAGAAACTGGGCCTATTGAGGCAACAGGTGTGGGATCTGGCAGGTAAGCGGAAAACCACACTGCATTATTTTCAATCTTTAGAGGGTCTGTTGAATTATGCTTGCAAAGTGGTGGTTCCAGGATGGGCCTTTAGTGCCCACTTACACCAGGCCATGAGGGTTCCCCCCCCGAATCACCATATGTGGATCAATAGTGGGATTCGGGAGGACCTGAGGGTGTGGGACACCTTTCTAAGGGAATTCAGTGATGTATCCTTTTGGAGGAGTGAGATGCTTCTCAAGGTGGATTTGCAGATACATTCTGATGCATCTGGAGCCCATGGTTTTGGCATATACTGGAATAGGCAAAGGGCAGGGGAGAGTGGCCTCAGGGTGGGTGAGTACAGGGGTGACAAGGGATCTTACCTTTCTCGAACTGTTCCCTACTATGTGGCAGTTCACCTCTGGGCAAGACAATTTGCTCAAAAACCATTTGGTTCTGGTGTGACAACCAGGCAGTGGTCCATGTCAATTCCCAGAGCTCAAAATCCCAAAGGGTGATGGCTTTGGTCAGATCCATAGTCCTCCAACATTTAACACACAATGTGCTGTTTCAGGAGCATCATGTTCCAGGCCTATTGAATCCTCTGGCATATGCCCTCTCACGTTTTGAGTTCCATAGGTTTCAGGAGCTTGAATCAGAAGCAGCACTGCAGCCTTTGACAGTACCAGCTCATCTGTAGAACCTTGGAGGATAGAGATTGAGCAGGCTATTCCACATTCATTGCCCCTTCCATGCGCAAGTCATATCAGCTGCCGATGCAAGCTTTTAGGCAATTCCTTGAGGCTGTGGGTGAGATGGGGTTTGGCCCCTGGGGGTGGAGATCATACTCCAGATAGGTCCAGTGTGACCTATCTCCAGTTACCATTAGGGGAAGGTTGGCGGCACTGACTGTTTACTCTTGGGTGGGGGGGGGGGTTCCCTGACTCCACTGTGGATTTTAGAGTATGGAAGGCATTGGAGGGATGGTCTGGGGAGCTTCCTCTGGTGCGCGATACCCACATGTCAGTTACAAATTTAGTCCTTTCTCGGATTTTGCACTCCCTCCAAGCGGTATGCTGTTCACTTGACAAAGTTACTCTCTTCTTGGTGGCCTTTACGTTGGCCTTTTTTGCTGAAACTAGAATTAGCAAGCTCATCCCTAGCTCCCGCTGGGATACTTCGGGGTGGGCCTTGTTGGTATCTGATGTCTGGATGTTGGATCGGAGCTTGCAATTACATTTCAGGAAGTTAAAGATGGACCAGTTGGCCAGGGTCAAATTGTGGTCTTATCTCAGGCCTCTATGGTCCAGATCTGCCCAGTTAAATCTTTGGTCGATTATCTCAGGTTGCACCCAACATCTTCCAGTTATCTATTTCTGCATTCCTCGGGCCTTCCTTTAATGCAATTTCAATTCAGGGTGGCATCATGGGAGGCACTGAAGCATACGGGCCTATCAGTAGACCATTTTTCTACTCATTTGTTCCAGATTGGAGCTGCCACAGCTCCTGCAGTGCACGGCCTGGGCAGTGATATGGTCCAATGTATTGGTCAGTGGCGCTCTGGAGCCTTTAAGACTTACATTCACCTTCAGGTCAGCAGAACCTTGACTTCTCATTCTGGGGGGCCAAATGCCGGTTCCCTGGTTCTCTAACATGTTGTTTTCTGTTGAGCAGGTGATGATCAGGGAGACGTCTGGATTGCTGGTCACAGTTTGGTTTTTTGGACCAACCAATATGATCTCCAGTCAGGCAGGGATCCATAGCTGGGTCTTGAGCAATTTGGACATATTCATTGGTTCAGGCAGAGAGGGATGCTATGGGGGGCCCTTCTTCCCCATGTCATTGAGCTGGCTGCTACTCATACACCTCCTCGGATACTCCTCATTCATCTGGGTGAAAATGATTTGGTCAAGACCCCTGGATTTCAGTTAGTCAGAAGGATCATTGTGGACCTCCATGAAGTACAATGCCTGTTGCCTGATACTGTGTTGTTATGGACTAAGCTTCTGTTTCAGCGAGCCTGGCCTGGCGCAATGAAGGACTCTGTTATTAATGGGGTTCATCACTGGGTGAATAGGGGTATTTGGACAAGGTTGGAATCTGTGGGGCCCTCAGGGGTGATACATGATCAGATTAGGATGGAATTGCCACATCTGTACAGGGGTGATTGGGTTCATCTCTCCCCGGTGGGTTGTGATCTGTATTTAGATTCCATTGTTTTTCACATCAAATGAGTTGTGTTGGGGGGAGGGGCTGCCAAGCTAGGCTGCCCCCCCATGAAGGGACAGGGACCTCCTCCCTAGGATTAACAGATATCTGAGTTTTCAATATTTCATGATTTACGATTGATGATTGATTTATGATGGCAGCTTTAAATGTGTGACCTCATTAAGCATTAAGATTGTTGTCAGACTTTGATTGTTGGATGATTTGATGATGTGATTTATAACTTGATGTATGACCACTATGTTGACATATGATTGATTAATGGAATGATTTATGACCCAATGACTTGTCATAGTTTATGGTATGATTTACACTAAATTGGTGCTCCTTTCACAAGTCACCGAAGGTGCGCCACAAAAGGCTGGCGGCACACCTTTGGTGACTCTTCCGCTGCAGCGTGTATGGACGCTGCAGCAGGAAGTCCTCCTTGGAGCGCCAGCCGTGCAGAGGGGTGGCTGCTCTGAGGACGACCTGGAGAAGGGGTTGGGGTGCCCGCCATGCAGCTGCCCCTCCCCTCCCCTGCCCCCAAGATGGCTCTTTAATCCATCTGCTTCCCCCCCCAATTTAGTGCTCCTTCCAGGGGCAGTACAGCTTTCCGGGGTGGCCCATGGCTGCCCATCTGCTTCCCCCCATAGTTAATATAAATAATTTAGATGGATATTTATGCTATCTGTTATGCAAGCAACCGTCATGATTACATCAAATATCTGAGAATAATAATGGCTAGTAATTTTGTTTATGTGTTTGTATCATGTCTTGACATTTTTCATCAACTTTTCTGAGTTAAAGTGGATTCAGCACTGCCTAAACTGTTTCAATTAAACAGGATTTTTTAAAAAAAAAATAGAATCTGGAGAATACCATGTTTTATCAGCATAAGATAGTCAGAGTGGTGTAGTGGTTTGTGTGTTAAACTGTGACTTTGGAGAACAGGGTTGGATTCCTTGCTCAGCTGTGAAACCAACTGGTTGACTTTCAGCAAGTCAAAATAATAATAATATAATATAATAATGAATTTTATTTATAGCCCGCCCCTCTGCGTGGCATTCAGGGTGGGTTACAACATTTAAAACAGATAGAGTTAAAACATTCCCTCATCCCATACCCCAACCCTCCCATCTCCTTAAAACAAAATTAAACCAAGAAAGAGTTAAAAAGAACAATACCATAAAATGATAAAACAATGCAACAAGGAGTCAGCAATAATAAAACAGAAGAAAGACTCATCTCCCATCTAGCAGCACTTATTCTGGGAAGGCCTGCTGGAAAAGATCTGTCTTTACTGCTTTTTTAAAAGCAGCAAGAATAGTAATGAGACGGATCTCGTCCAGCAGGCCATTCCAAAGTCTGGGAGCAGTTGCACAGAAGGCCCTCTGGGAGGTCTGAGATAGCCTGGTTTTTATTGGCTGTAGCAGATT